ATGTTGTCTGACTGCTTTTAGCATTTTAACAAGCAGCACTTTTGTAGTATTCGGTATTCACAGCATTATTACATATATTAAGACCACTGGCTTTTCTTGCCGGCATCATCCCTGCTGTCTCTGGGTCCCTGCTGTCTCTGGGTCCCTGCTGTCTCTGGGTCCCCGCTGCCTTTGGGTCCCCGCTGCCTTTGGGTCCCCGCTGTCTGTGGTTCCCTGCTGTCTGTCGGTCCCTGCTGTCTCTGGGTCACTCCTGCCTTTGGGTCCCCGCTGCCTTTGGGTCCCCGCTGCTTTTGGGTCCCCGCTGCCTTTGGGTCCCCGCTGCCTTTGGGTCCCCGCTGCCTCTGGGTGCCCGCTGTCTCTGGGTCCCCGCTGTCTCTGGGTCCCCGCTGTCTCTGGGTCCCCGCTGCCTTTGGGTCCCCGCTGCCTGTGGGTCCCCGCTGTCTGTGGGTCCCCGCTGTCTCTGGGTCCCCGCTGCCTTTGGGTCCCCGCTGTCTCTGGGTCCCCGCTGTCTCTGGGTCCCCGCTGTCTGTGGGTCCCCGCTGTCTGTGGGTCCCCGCTGTCTGTGGGTCCCCGCTGCCTTTGGGTCCCCGCTGTCTGTGGGTCCCCGCTGCCTGTGGGTCCCCGCTGTCTCTGGGTCCACGCTGTCTGTGGGTCCCCGCTGTCTGTGGGTCCCTGCTGCCTTTGGGTCCCTCTTAACTGCTAAAGTAAACTAAAGATTGACAGTTTTGTAAACGCAGCACCGCCCCCCCCCCCCTCCTCTGCAGTGGAGTGGCAGACCCGGAGAGCGGCGCCAGGCGCACAGACTCGGGTGGCAGCGGCGTTGCCACGGTAACGAGTGAGACGTGACCGCAGCGATGGCGAACGCTTCGATGAGGAGAGCGCCGCAGTCAGCATTTCCTCTCCTCCGCGTCCTCCTCTAACCTCCGGCGGATGGGTGGGGGTCGGGGTGGGGGTGGGTGGGGGGCGGGTAGTTGAGAGGATGCTTGTTTGACATGTGAGTAAACATTAATTTACCTCCTGCAGTCAAACGTGAAATGAATCAGTGTGATTATGCGTCATAATCACCGGCGTCCCTTTTTCCCGGCCTCGTGTTTTGCAGCCGTCGTACTGTAGATGCACTTCCACCTCGCTGCCTTCTGGAGATTTCGGCACTTCTGCACGCACCCCCCGCCCGCCCCTCCTCCTCCTACTCCCATCTTGCTTATTAACATACATTAAACCACGTTGCCTTTTCACACTTCATCATTTCTATCTCGGCTCATACTGCAGAGGCCTGAGCTCAGCAGCACTGTACTGCCGCAGGGCGCCAGGAGGAGATATCCATTTCCACAAGTACACGTTTTCCCAGAAGAGGAGAAGAGATTGGATTTCATAATTATATTAGTGACTTTGTTACTTTTAAGGGTCATATTCCTTTATTCACTTGAACGGACCAAACGTGTTTTCATCCCCATTGAAAGCCGGTAAAGAAAACGACAGCATGTTGAATTCTGTTGGTGGTCTTATGAGGTAAACGAACAACGCGGCGCTCTCTGATGACCTTTGTCGGCGAGCCACTCCACTCTTCACGTGTTCTTTGTGTCTGAACGTTCTGGAGAAACCTCGGTGTGAGAATGAACTCTCGCGTGAAGTGAGCAGGTAGACGCACGGATCATTTCACCCAAAACCCGCTGCAGTTGTTCACGTCCTCACACCGTCACGCACACTCGGAGGAGTTTTCCTTTCTCCAAACCGTCAACAAACTGCGTACTGATGCTAGTTTTTGTCTTTCATCCAGGGGAGGAGCTCCGAGGGAAGATCATCGTGCGTAAAAACAAGAAGGACCCTCGCTCACTGTGGGTCACCTTTGACCTCGGCGACAGGAAGCAGACCTACAGCCTGCAATAACGCCCGCTGTGGCAAAACACCCAGCAAAGACAGCCCACTTTTTATTGACCCGTCGTGTGTTCTACAGGATTTTGATGTTTGGAATGTTAAGATTTGTTTTTGGTGCCTTGTAATAATAAAAAAAAGACGTAACGTGAAATATTTTCCCCTTGTGAGTGTGTTTACTTCGGCATAATTGAACATGATCAAACTTGAAAATGATTCTTTATATATGTCTGTTACATGTATGAATTACATGAATGCACTCAGGTCAGTTGTATTGATAAAGCCCAATGTCCCAAATAGCTTCTTTGCCCGTAAGATGTCTGAAAATCCCAAACTTTTAAATCCAGTTTTAACCTTAAATGTCTTTAGTCCTTAAAATCATAAAACATCTCACATTTCGGTCGGTGAGACGGCGTTCATCGCGCACCATTACGCTCATGCGTCCCCCCGACTGATCAAAATGTCCAACAAAAGGAAAAAGTACTTTGAGGATCTGGCCGCCCGCTCTCCTTTTTAGAAGGATTGTGTGCTTATGCCAAGTATTTCTCTTAATGTCCCTGCACATCCTCGTCCTTATTGTCCTCCTTTGAGCCACGTGAGATCTCACATCGTCATCCGTCTTCCGTGAGTTTACCGGGACAATGTGAGATGAATTTTAAGCTTTAAAAAGGCTGACTGAAGCCTATTTACACGCTTCATTAAGCAGCTCTGGTTACAATTAAAGTTTTCTTGTCTGAGATGATGAAAGAGTGGTCTGTGAGGAGGAGGAGGAGGAGGAGGAGACTGAGGGGCTGTCTTATTGGTGATCTGACAGTCGCCTCCTCTGATGTATTTCTACAGCCTCTGTGTCCTCTTTGCTTTTATATTAATCCAGTCTGCTCTGACCACAAATAGGGTGTTCGCTCACACGAAACGAATAGAAAATGTTTTTAAAAAGCGGCATTTGTTCAGAATGCAAATGTTATTTGTGTTTACTTCATCGATTTCCTGAGGCACTTAGCAAAGAAACTGATTTTAAAGTTCTGTCTGTTTTCATGAACAGACACTTTGTACATGCAACATTTAAACAGTGCGCTTCTTTGGTGTAACATTTACAGCCTGTAAAATCATTTTTTTAAACGTTCGGTTTAAAACGAAAAATGAGTTTAAAGTGTACGTGATGATGATGATGATGAGCCGTGGGGCCCCTGGGTGACCCCCTCGCGCTGAATCGTTGCTTTTCAGGCGCTTCGGATGGATGCAGCTCCTTATCAATCAGGCCACAGTGGGAGTGATCAATTAATTACGCGAGCTCGTGTAAATAACGAGCACGAGGGGGAGAAAAAAAAACCCTCCGCTTTATTTCAGCTCCCTGATCGGGGATTACTCTCCTAAAAAGAGAGAATTATTAAAAATGGGGGAGCTAAAAATGAAAGCCGAGTCTTTGTAAAAATGTTAAATCTTTCGTTTCAGACATTCTGCAGCAGAGAGCCACGTGGGCTTTGTTTTACTGCACGTGTGTAAAGCTCTGAAAACCCATCTTTCTTCTTGCAATGAAAAGCTGGGCGTGCGTGCGTGCGTGCGTGCGTTCACGGTGTCTGGTAGACATGCAGAAATCAATTACGATTATTCTCTGTTGACAATGCAATTACAGCCGAGGCGGCGGGAAACGTTCCCGCTGCAGCCTCTTCTTTCTCTGGGGATCGAACGACGGGCCCGAGTCCCGGTGTGAGCGCAGCCGCTCCGGCACGGAGGCTGCTTCAAAGCCCGGTTGGCTTCACAACAATTTCATTTGAGTTGTGTGTTAGTTTATTAAAATGCAGAACCATTGGTTTTGACCATTTTTTTTTATAGTTTCAGTGTTTAATGGGAGGCAAGTATCTGGCATAAAATAAAAATTATTTTAGATAATAAATATGAAAAAATAAATAAATGATAGGATGGTGATAAATGACTGAGACACGTTTATACATTTTAATCCTTATTATTATTACTATTATGTTTTGGGCACGGCCCTATTTGTTTCACACACCGCCCTTGCCATAACTAGCTATACAAAGTGGTTGCTAAGCAACGAAAGGGCCGATTTCGCTGAAACTCTTTATAATTGGACGTCAGTTATGAGCTTTTTGTCCAGTGGCGACTCAGCCAATCAAACATGGTCTATTTCGGTTTATTAACACATTTCAACGTTGGTGCAAAGCGTCAAGATCAAACACCCCGCACGAAAAGTATTTTCTGTCCTGTGTTTGTGTTAATCATGCAGGCCTCCTTGCGCGTGTTTATTCTGTTTTATAATCTAAGCGTGCACTCTCTCTGTGTAATGGTCTTCTGACTCTTTATATCAAACGTTTTTTAAAGTTGTCCTTACTCGATGAGACCACCGAGGCGTCTTTGCGGCCTTTGGATGAATCCCACTCGGGACGTCCCTCTCCGTTTAAAGACCTGGATGATGGTATGCGCAATGCAGTGGTTTTAGAATCTATGGCACCTTTTTTTTTCTCGCCTCCACTGTCGCTGCTCCCGGTCCAGCTCCAGTGGTCCCTCGTGACACACGTGATTTGGAGGGAGGGGGGCTCGTCTCTTGCGTAAGCCTTTAACAAATGAGTAGCTTCATGAAGACCTCGCCCACTTCTTCTTCTTTTTTTCTTGATCAATGCTCCTATCGGTGACGCACAAGGTACGTTCTGAGCATGGGCGCGCGTGTCCTGTGCGTAAAACCCACCCAATCTAAAAGACTATTTATAGTTCAGCCCATTTACGGCACGTTTTTTTAAAGTAAATTTAACTTCTACAACTTATGTACATATTAATAATATGAATACATTTTTTTATATTTGTAATGGCATCAGTTTCTGAACTGAAATGAACACGTCTCCAACGGATGCCGTATTTGTGTTCTTGTGTGCGTTTTAAAGGATGTAAACTGAAGCGTTTCTGTCCAAAACCCAGAGGCGTGCGTGTGCACCGCAAATGCCTCCTTCCCCTGGAGCGGCTCCTGTAGTTGTTACTGTAGCAGGGAAACTCGACTCGGCAGCACAGTGCGAACATTATTTAGACTGATACTCAATAAAACAATAAAAGCCTAAACCTGGAACTCTTTATCCCAACCCGAGCAGCGTGTGCTCGCGCGGGATGCGTTCATGCACGTGTGTAAAAGCATCCTCCACACGTGCCCAGAGACGAGCGCATTAATCAGCTTCGGAGAGAGCCCGTCCAGCGCTCACGCATGCCGTGCGTAACCGCAACGCACGCAATTCACGCACGCATGCACATACGCGCGTAACGTCGTCTTGGCTCCGGATGTCCCTTTAAAAATCCGAATCCCAAGCCAATGATTTATCAAACTCCTATTATCAAGAAAATGTCACGCGAAGGGCACCTTGCGCAGCGCTGACGCAAAATCCGGACTTTCCCTCGGAGCTCGAGGACAGCTTTGCACTTTGTGCTCGCGCGCGGCGACAAGCAGTCCGCTTCCAGTCCTCTCCTCGTCTCCTCACAGCTGCGTCCAGTCCGCCAGCAGACACGTGCAACACAATGGTGAGTGTCTTTAAACACTTTCTTCCCTTTTGCCTCTGTGGTTACATGGTCTTATTGGACTTTGACATTAACTTGACACTTGTGTTTTTTGAAGCAGTTTGGCGCGCTGTGGTGCTGTCCGTGGTGCTGGAATGCAGCTGAGGCTCAACGATAAAAACTTTTTTTCTCCCTTTAGATTCTGTCACCCGGCAAGGTTTTTAAAAATCTGAATCCTGACTTTTAAAAAGCTTAAATTGGGAAGAAATGGTGCATTCCAGACCACCGTTCATATATCTGAATGATTGGTTTGTTATTTAAGGCTCAATAATTACAACCAAGTGTACTTGTTTTTTTCGCTCACAAGTTGTATATATCAAAGCTTTAATCAATTGCAGTTTTTGTTTTATAGACCAGTGACCCACTTCTTCTTTTCATTATTATTATTTTTTTATTTTATTTATTTATGTTTTTCCAGCTGCTTTCCCGCCCCCGTCACCGCTAAACATTTCAGGGACTCATTTGTAATTCTGCTGCCCCGGGTCCGCTCGCTACCGTAACGCCGGTGATCTTGCATGCCTCCCGGGGAGAGCGAAGCCACAGAGAGACCTGCAGCAGCTTGTCTATTGCCCATAAAATCAGTGGATGCGTGTGGCTGAATGACACGAGGGGGGAAATGGGGCGTAAAATTAAAGAATCTTGCAGAAAGCGAGAACTGGAGAAGCAAAGCACCCCCCCCTCCCCATCCCTCCCTCCCTTCAACATACACACACACACACATAAACGAACACACCCGGTGGACGGTGAGCTGAAGCTATAGCACAGCCAGAACCAGAACATGCTGCAGAAAAAGGACAATTGAGCATTTTCAGTCCCATTAACGCGGCAGCCTCGCGGCTTCATGCTTTCCGCCGCTTTGCTGCATCTTGTCCCCCTGATCTGTCGCTCCCACGTTCCAGGATTTCTCTGACCAAAGAGAAATGGCCAAACAGATGGCCGGTGCCGGCGCTCCAACCGGCTACATCCCGACGCAGCAGCCCGATGGACCCGCGGGATTTACAGCAAACAGACCGGACAACGCGGCCGCGTGCGCTCCCGCCACCCCGCACCATCACCCGGCGCCGCAGCCGCCTCCTCCGTGCAACGAGAGCAAAACTTTTTCTAACACGGAAAGTAAACCGGGGGAACTGGACAGCAACAAAGCGTACGGGACGTTTAAGAGCGCCGCGCCGGCGGCCCCCGGATCCGTGGCCATCAACTCGGCCTTCAGGAAGGATTCCGCCGGTTCGGCCCGCGCAGGGCCCGCCGCCCAGTACGGCGACCCGCTGCGGGCCGCCGCGGAGCAGAACAACGCCGTGGGCAACTGGACGGCCATGAGCCAGACCACCATCGTACTGGGGACAGATGGGAACACGTCTGTTCAGCCCGGCGCCGTGGCGGGGGTAAGTCAGCTTTAATGAACCGTTTCCTTAACGAACAGCGGCTGGAGGCGGGCGCGGATGTTTGTCGCGTGTCGCCGACTGGATTAACCCCAAAGCGGAGAAGGTGCCCCCCCCATTCCCCCTGGGGGAGCTCTGGCCCCGCCATGCGGAGCTAAAGTAGATCAGGGCTGCAGATGTTTGATGGGGGGGGGGGGCGTCCCTCGAAAATCAACGTGCAGGCTGCTTTGGTTTCCTGCACAGATGTGTTGATAAAGTGTTTCAGCCCGACGACTTCCGTGCTGAAATCAGCAAGGAGCGCGTGGCCCGATATTCGCGTCGATCACGATGTCATAGAATAGACCGATCGTTCATTATTCTGATGTATAAACAAAGACAAAACATGTGTTCAACAGAACGAAAAGACGCGAGGTGAGTTGATTATTTCCTTCCTCTTTTGCAATTAAGATTCCCACAGAGCAGAGGTTTAATGTGGCCGTAGACCGACGTGAGTAAAAGCTGAATGCGTGCATGTAAATAACAGCGCGTGCTATTTCATGCGGGGATCCAAACGTGCCAACCCGCCACGTCAGCGAAATATTCAAAAACAAACCGAGCATGTGGATCAGCAGCCAGCGGCGGGGGGAGACAACCTATTTTGTGTTTTGTTTTGTCTTTTTTTTTTTTTTTTTTTACGGTATAAACCGGTGATTTGTTCGTGCTGATTTTTGATCACAGTCACGCTGGTAACACAATTTGTGATAAAGGGAAATCAATGATATTACTGTGCCCCCCTGCACCCAGCAGATACACTTGGTATGGCCCGAAAGCCCAGGTGTTACCCGGCAGATATCAAGCAGAGGGCAGCCCCCCCCCCCCCTCACACATTCTCACACGTACTGACACACACACACACACACACACACACACACACACACACACACACACACACACACGCGCGCACAGATTCCCATGCGTGGCGTTGTTTATGCATTTGAGGATTCATGCAGTTCCTTTCATGGATCTGCTCACATCCCGCTGTGCAGCTGTAGGATAATTGTGCATTTCTGTTGGTATTTGCTCTCCTTATTTAAGTGGACTATTAGCAGCGTTCTTTTAATCACCACGTCTTAGATTTAAGAGGCGCTTTCATGCGGTCTCGTGGCAGTAATGGGCCTATTGAATAGGAGTTTGACACATAGGCTTGTCACTGGAAAGCTGCTGATCTCTGACATGCAAACACATCTGTAACGGAGAACGAAATGATCATTATGGAGAAGACACTTATATTTGACGGGGAATAAAAAAGGAAACTGCACCCAAAAACGTTCTGATGGAATGAACATTTCTCTTCTTTTTTAAAAGAAAGATTTTTTATGCGTTAGTAAAATGCATGTGTGCTTTTCAAAAAATACTTGCATATTTTTGGTCGTTGTTGGGTTGAGTTTTCCCACCTTTCAGATCCAGATTGAGGCATTGTATTATTTATTTAATTGGTTAAACTTTTCATGTGGGCTACGGGTTTTATTTAAGAGAATGAATATCATTTTTCCCCTTAGGCTGACGATGATGATGATGATGAGGAGGGAGATGAGAATAAGGCCAGAGGAAACTGGTCCAATAAAATGGATTTTATTCTGTCCATGGTTGGCTACGCGGTGGGACTGGGGAACGTGTGGAGGTTCCCTTATCTTGCCTTCCAAAACGGTGGAGGTAAGATTTATATAGGTCAATGCTTTTTAATCCCCGACACAGAAACAAACGAAAACACATGCGGAAAAAAGGAATTCTAAAGGATTTTTTTATTGTGTTTTAGATCCACCAGTTCCCTCCAGTTAGGCCGTTGACCAGGAGATCATTTTGCATTAGAATAATAACAAAAAAAACGGATGTAGAGGTGATATTTTTTTAAGTGAATATTTTCACATGAAAAAATCAGTAAAATAAGAGGAAGAAAAATACACCAGAATAATGCCTATTCGCATCAAAGTAGCTGTATAACTTTATAGAAATTGGAATTTATAGTAAAATCTCTGGATACGTTGCAACAATCATCATGCAAGCATGTAATAATAATTTGTTCAGCAATGCTTGAAGCCATTTACACCTCACTTATGTTTTTTTTAAATCATTAATAAACACAGCTAATGATCCCAACCATGTGCGTTATTTAAAATACAAACAGACGCGAGCCGCTTATTCATTTTTGAATACACAGCGCCGGTATTTCCGGCTCTCCTGTGCCTTGAAGTTCCCTCTGTCAGCCTGCCGTTTCCTTTCCTCGCAGGAGCCTTTTTGATACCCTACCTGACAATGCTGGGCATCGCCGGCATCCCAATCTTTTTATTGGAGGTGTCCCTGGGCCAGTTTGCCAGCCAGGGCCCCGTGTCAGTGTGGAAGTGCATCCCAGCTTTGCAAGGTAAACTGCCACGACAACAGAAACAAAATGACTAAAAGAACATTCAAAAATAAACCTCATATGATATTATCAAGAGTTCTCCACTTTTCTTAAGAGTAATTTATATATTTCGTCTCATTTATTTATTTTAGGTTGCGGGATTGCCATGTTGATAATATCTGTCTTGATAGCCATATACTATAATATTATAATGTGCTGGACACTGTACTACCTGTTCGCTTCGTTGAAGGGCTCACTGCCATGGGCTCACTGTAGGAATGAGTGGAACACGGTGGAATGTAAGGACAAAGACATGCTGCTATTAGGTGAGACTCACACACACACACACACACACACACACACACACACACACACACACACACACACACACACACACGGGGGGGCACACTCCACAATGCCCAATGCGTCAGGCCTCCCTGAGCCGAGGTGTCCTGCAGTATAATGAATCCTGACCTGTGATCTCATGCGGTGTTTTCACCCCCCCCCCCCCCCCAAAAAAAAATAAAATACACGTTGAATTCGGAGCACGTGGTTTATTTTAACTGATGCAGGACACTCAGGCCCCCCGTGTGGGAGATTACACTTATGATAAATATGACATTACTTTCGATTGTTCTTTTCGTGTGGTATTTTATACTTGAACGCTGCAGTGCGCAGCAGAATCAGTCTTTGTTAGCTTTTTTAAATTATATTCCTTGAAAGAAATCACGGTTTCACATGAAGGCAAATTGGCGGGAAGGGCTTTGGCGTCGATCCGCGTTGAATGAATATCGAAATTACGTTTTTTTCCCTCCAATATTCCCCGCCGAGCGGTTCTGTGAATTCAGCACAAAAAACTGCTTGTCTGACAAATTTACTGTACAGTCTGAACTGCTGCAGTGCTGCAGTGCGCCCCGACACCGCCCCCTGCAGGCCGCCCCGACAACTGCAGGCGCCTCACAACCATTCATTAACCATATCGTTTCATGGATATGGTCAATGAAGCAATCATGCAAAATGACATATCGTAATACGTCGACATCATTTAACACAGTATACATTTTATAAATGCCATGTTTAGTTGATTTTCATTTTTGTGTAAAAACGATATTACGCTTTGACATAAAACACTTTTCTCTGCCTCTGAGTTGTTGAAAAAGTTTGTTTTGTTTTGTTACGAATTTAGAAGAACATGTATTGCCATTTAACTTTTTCTGCGTTAAAATGCAATAAAAAGATGGATTTGAAGCATGTATGTTATATAAAAAGAAAGCTATATGGTCTTCAGACCCTGATGCGTCTGCATGAAAAATTGTACTGACAAAAGGGAAGCAGCTTTTCCTTATCTAATCTTTCCCGCAGCATCTGAATTGAAGCACACATTCGGTATAAGCATTTCTGTTATTCACATCTGGCCTCTGGGTCACTGAGGAAGTCCCCAGGCGGGCCTGCTGTCGACTTCTCCTCTCTCCAACACCAGATCCATCTGTTGCCCCCCCCCCCCCCCCCCCACACCCCAAAGGATGTTTTTGTTCTGAGGGGGGAAAAGCTGTGCGGACCGGAGGCCGGTCCCCACAGAGGGCATTCTGCCGCGACTCTTCCCCCGTTGAAGAGTGGTGGTTTTCTGATTGGAACAGACACGTGCATCCTGCGGGACAGAAACATCACCTCCATCAAGAACTCCACTTTCTGTCTGTCCCCGAGCAACGTGGGGAACCTGACCAAGCTCATGAACATGACAGTAGACGTCAACAAGACCTACGTCAGCCCCAGCGAGGAGTACTTCAAGTGAGTGTGAGAGCCTGTGGCCTTTTAAAAGGACGCGAGCAACAAAAATGTGAATTTATAATGTTCTTTGTATTTCAACAGTTACGGTATAAAACCAGATATTTCTTCAGTTACTCTCCCGTTCAGCTTCTCGGCTCTCCAGAGAAGAAGCTGTGCATTTTGGTATTTAATAAACAATGAAATCGCCAAAACTTCTCCTGAGATGAGTGCGTAATTGGCCATCGTTGTCAAATGATTCCCCATCATTACAGTTAAAAACGCTCAAACATTACAGCTGCCACTCAACGAGATACAAAACCATGAGAAAAAATAACGCTACGGTCTGCAGAACGATGAAGTGAAACGGACCGATTAGCGTTGGAAACCTCTGGTGTTTCAGATTACCGAGCTGTGTGTTTTTGCTGTTTCTATCACACCTGCAGGTACAATGTGTTGCACATCTCTAAAGGAATCGAATACCCGGGAGACATCCGCTGGCCTCTGGCCGGCTGTCTGCTGCTGGCCTGGATCATCGTCTACTGCTCTCTAGCCAAAGGGATCAAGTCATCAGGGAAGGTAACGGAACGCACGAAGCGCCTCTTTTTTGGTTTCGTAGCCCCTTTGTGGTGAGCTGCAGGAGATCCAGCATGTGAGGGACTTCCCTCCCCTGCTCAGAGGAAAGTTCATGAGAAGACAACACTTCTCCTTTTCAGGCATGTGGAAAAACCACATTGCTCAATATTCTATTCTATTTCGGGCCAATAGATCTCCTTAGAATCTCCACTCTGTTCCTTTGTTGTTGTTCAAGGCCTGAAAATAGTGATCTTTAAAATAAGAAAGTAAAAAGACAACACCTGTGTTCTTTTAATATTTTATTTTCTAAAAAAATTTGATTCGATGAGCAAGTTTATGTTTGGATTCCGATTCCAGTCCCTTTTTAACTGAAACCTTTCATATCTCGTGTTCAGGCAGCAGGGTTTCTTCTCTTAGTTTTACATCGCGGTGGATTGTGAGATGAAACTCACGCTGGATGCAACAACCTTATACTTTTTATTTGTACGGGAAGGGAAAAGTTGGAATGCCTGAACCAATTTTCTTCTTTTGATTGTGAGGAAGGAAACATCATCACATTCTAAAGAAATCCTTGTGTAATGACGCCCTCTAGTGGTCAGGGATGTGAAACACACGGCGGCTCGGTTTAGAAACCTCACTTCGCACAGTTCAAAAAGTACACCAAAAGATTTACTTGTTTCACTATCGGAAAAACTTCCTTTTTTTCCATTTTAGGAGGGAGTGAGTGAGTCACCTGTTATATTATTATGCGGCTGCAGAAATGCTTTATTGGTAGCGCATTCGGGACGCTGGATCATAAAATGAAAATGAATCCTGGTGGGTGCTTTTGCTATTTGTGGAATATTAAAGACATATAGAATATATTGTAGAAGGGAGAAAAAAAGAATGAAAAGAAAGCCACGCACTGCTACGTGACTTTTTTATAATTTATAAAGGTCGCTGCTTCTCTAAAGAACCTCAGATTTTCAATAACTACAACGAGTATTACTTTTCCTCTCTCTCTCATTCGGGTCTCCTCTCTGCTCAGGTGGTGTATTTCACAGCCACGTTCCCCTACGTAGTGCTGGTCATCCTGCTGATCAGAGGGATAACCCTCCCCGGGGCCTTCGACGGCATCCTCTACTTCATCACACCCAAGTGGGAGAAGCTGAATGACGCAAAGGTACCCGACGCCCCCACACACACACACACGCGCGCACACGTTTGAATCCGCTTTGCTCCGTCCTCTCCTGCTTCTTACCTGCAGCTGTTTTCTCTTCCTCATCCTTCAGGTGTGGAAGGACGCGGCCACTCAGATCTTCTTCTCGCTGTCGGCGGCCTGGGGAGGCCTCATCACTCTCTCCTCCTACAATAAGTTCCACAATAACTGCTACAGGTAAACACACAAAAGGTAAACCATGCTTCTGGCACACGCATTCAAACTGTCTCTCCGTAGACACTGCAAATCTGATAGAAATGTCAATAATAAATGTCACTTTGCAGCCAGATGTTCAGCGTTTCTCTCATTTCCTCGCACCCGAAGGCTTGTTTTTTTATTTATCACACATCCTTCTCTCAGTTCAAAACATATGAAGACTTTTTTTGTTGTTGAAAACACCTGAATGCACAAAATAGGTCATCTCTTGTTGGAATGTTGGAATGATGTTTAGAAATAAAATGCTGTGGACTTGTTGTGGTTTGCAGAAATATATTTCCCTCATCAAATAAAAGATCTAAGCAGGGCTTGTTTTTGAGGTTTTTCTACATGTGTAAGATAATATATATATGTATATATATGATCATATATATATATACATACATACTATATACTAACTATACCTGTATATAGGTGTATATATATATATATATATATATATATATATATATATATACGTATAGATATCTTTACCCCAATGCCACGCTAAACGTTTTGCTATGGAAATACATTCAATTAAGCACCAATTATTTGCAAATTCAAATTAGACAGACACACACACACACACACACACACACACACACACACACACACACACACATTCTATTAAACAGCCTGACAAATGAGTTGCTTCGGCATTTTGCGCTTATTAGCAAAACGGCGCTCTTTCACAGACCTCTCTATGCACTTTGTATTCCAGCCACCAGGTGGCGCCATCGTGCCGTCACATATTACACGCAGCGCGTGCCAACGCCAATGTTCAGTCACCTGAAGCCGGTCTGTGCTCATTTGGCTTCTGCTTGTCTCCCCCCTCTCTCTCCCCGCAGTGACACCATCATAGTGACGTGTACCAACAGCCTCACCAGCATATTCGCTGGCTTCGTCATCTTCTCCGTCATTGGTTTCATGGCGCATGAGCTGAAAGTGCCGATAGAGCAGGTGGCAGATGAAGGTAAGGCACCAGAGCACAACCCAAAAAGTTTGACCCCACGTGTGTGCGTGCGTGTGCACACCTGCATTTACGTGTGTGTGTGTGTGTGTGTGTGTGTGTGTGTGTGTGTTAGGTCCAGGCATAGCGTTCGTGGTGTATCCTGAGGCTCTGACCAGACTTCCACTGTCTCCTTTCTGGGCGATTATCTTCTTCCTCATGCTCCTGACTCTTGGCCTGGATACCATGGTAACCACTGCTCCCTCCATCTGTGTGTGTGTATGTGTGTGTGTGTGTGCTCTCGTGCGTTTTTTTGTCTATAGTTATGTGGTTATGTTTAGTCATGTGGTTAACTAATGCTTCTTCCCTTCTCTGTGTGCCAGATTCAAAGATGCAATCCGACACTTGTTTGTCTCCTTAGAGAGATTGAAATTAGGGCGGGTAATTAATGTTTAAGAAAAAATAAAATAAAATGTTTCTACATCCTCACAGAAATCCATAAATCAAGTGCTCTGACAAAAAAGAAGAAGAGATAAATGTGTAAAAGTGTATCGCAGCGCTGTGATAAGCCCATCCAATCACGCGCTGTGGATGTATTAACGCCCCGCTGTGGATGCACGCTGTGGATGCACGCTGTGGTCCCGACTGTGAGCGCTAACGCGAGCCGTGCGGGCGGTAAACGCCCATTAGGATCTGTTTGCATCATACATGGTCCTTTTGCTGGAGTGAGGCCTTCTATCGGGGGAAGAACCCACATAGTGGAGGATAAAGGCTGTAAAAGTCACTGGAGACTGCAGAGTTGGGTATAATCCTTTCTTGGTTTTGTCCGAGTGAATTATGCGTGTTCATTTGATTTCTATTTATCAATATATGAGTCATCTTATTCATCATAAGTTACGATGGTGTTCCTTCACTTTCAAAAGTGTTTTTTTTTTTTTTTTGCTTCAAGTTTCATAACATCAGCAACCTTCATGTCAGAGTCTGTAAAACAAACACTCGACTCAGGCGGCGGCATCCAGCTACGTTTAACCGCTGCACATATTGACCTAATTAACCTAATTACCCGCACGCACCACCCACTGGCACGGCTTTCAGCTCAAGTGAGCTCACTGTGTGATTGCAGTGAGTGAAGTGAAGTTGACCTTAAAGTCAACAACGCTGATGTAAAGCAGTTTAAATACAATTAAAGTACCTGCTTTTTAGTAAACATGTTCCCCTATTTTCTGACGTTGTGTAGACTTAATAATAGAATCCCCATCAGACAGCTGCTGGTTCTAACCCCCCCGTGAAGATACGAAGACGCGTTCTGAGCAAACCAAAAATTGCCTTTTTGAATGATACACTACAAAAAAGGTCATTAAATGCCCCAAATAATTTTCATTATCCTATCTGTATTTTATTAACTAAAAATATAGTCCCAGATGTTTATTCCCTAAAGTACTACTGCTCACTAGCTTGATGTATTTGCATGTATAACATGATAGTAATACACTTTACATTCATATTTCTTATTTGTTTTCAGCAGCGTCGAAGCTGCAATCAGATAAACCCACTGCCAAACATTTAGCTCCATCAACTTGGTCTCCATCAACCCCTGAGCGAAGGCTTGATGGAGACCAAATTGGAGATTAAAAGAAAGTCAACATTCAACCTAATCAACGCGGTCGATGTGGACTGCTCCCCGTCGCGTTGTCTCTCCTGCCTTGGCCATGATGATTAGATACTGTGATATTTGTCATTTGAGTTCCAGTAAAAGCCTGTTGCTTCGGTGAAGCAGCGCACTGGTTTCCGGGATGTAAAACCAGTGGGAGAAGTTGATCTAGAATGAGTGGATGACACGTGGCTCACAACACTGGATGCTGAATTTCCACAGCGGCCCCGCTACCATTGAAACGAGGCGAACCCGCCGACTGCAGGCTTGTCGGTGAAAACGGCAATTTTCAGTGATTCGCCGTTGGATCTGCAGAACTGTTTAAATATAAAAACGAAGTCACAAAATTTCCCATGACAAATCTGTTTGAGCTTAAACCTTTCCCCTCCGTTATCCCTCGTTCCCCCGGCTCGTTTCCCTCCCTCTTCTTCTTCTCCACCCCCAGTTCGCCACCATCGAGACCATCGTGACCTCCGTGTCGGACGAGTTCCCCAAATACTTGAGGAAACACAAACCCCTCTTCACCCTGGTCTGCTGCTTCTGCTTCTTCTTCCTGGGCTTTCCCATGATCACAGAGGTAGGGACACACGAATGCGACACCCCCCCTCTCCGTGTCAGTGGGAAAGTTATGTAAGATTATGAAGCCTTGAATTGTTTTTCGCTGACTCTGCGTTTGTGTGTCTGAGGCAGAGCGGCATGTTCATGCTGCAGTTGGTGGACACTTTCGCAGCCTCCTACTCTTTGGTCATCATCGCCATCTGCGAGCTGGTGGGGATTTCCTACCTGTATGGTGAGTGAAGCTGCTCCCGCTCCACCGCTCTTTATCGTTCTACCTCATCTTAACAAGTTTAAAGGGGCTCGTGCCACGTCCCATCATGTAGGAATGACCAAAACAGCATTCGGAGCCAGACCTCTGTCAAAAATGCAGCTTCTCCATCCACGTATCCGATGTCACAACCTCGATCACACCTTTGATTATGTCTCTTAAAACAGCTACAGACACTGCACAGTCCTCCTCATGACTGACGAATTGCCTTCGACACGTGCGCTTCAGTCGAGTGACCCACTCACCTTTTTTGCTAAACCGTAAAGTCATTTCATCAGTCTTGGAGTTTAAATCTTTCTAATTAATCCAGAGGTTTAATTTGTCTCGAGAGCTCATTAAAAATCTTTCACAAATACCGGTTTTGGTGTCTTGACTTTCCAATCAACACTTTTTAACATCTCCGTGGTAGAACCGCGTTTGACGTAATTCCCACGAGCAGGAGTCTGCAGGAACGCAGACCTCAGGGTTCATAAAGGGCTCAGAATGTCTGCGAGGGAGCCCTCAAACAGCAAATGACCCCCCCCCCCTCCAGAGCGATGTGCCTTTATATGTATAAAGGTACATGTTATTCCAGCCGTGACCACTTGGGGTCTCTGGTGTGATGCGCGTAAGTTGCACGCTCACACGCATCACACAGAGCTCAGGTGTGTGTCGGGAAGGCCGATCCCTCCAGTTTGTCAGAGCATCAGTTCAGGTGACGTGTTGAAGTGATTGTGTGACTCTTCATGTCACTCAATGTTATCCGTCAATAAAGTCAGAGAGGAATGAAGCCATCTGCTCCCGGGCCTTCTCCTCCCTCCCTCCCTCTCCCTCTCTCTCGGTCTCTGTCTGTCTACCCTTTTAATGGACCTTATTAAGCCCGGGCTTTCTTTTTGTCTCTGCAGGTCTGCAGAGGTTTTGCGATGACATTGAAATGATGATTGGTTTCCAGCCGAACCGATTCTGGAGAATCTGCTGGGCCTTTGTGACTCCCACCATTCTGACGGTACTTTTCTTTTGGCTCATCTCATTCAGCCTTGGACACACTCACACACACACACACTCACAAAAACACACATTGACAAATCAAGACAAATTTTATTCATATCGTCCAATACAACAAATCCCAAATCTGTTTCGCTGAGAATTAGCCTTTCCGCCCCCGGCTTCGACATGCGTGCGGCCTAAAATGTTTCCATTCACTGCCTGGTAACTTGCCAAGTAGTCGGCGTGATGTCCGTTGCTACCAACACGTCTACGTCTTTTTTCTGGAAAAGGGACAATTGCTGTCACGGGCTGTGTGTTAGTCTGTAACGTCTAATGATTAGGCGTTCAGCAGCATTCATGTTAGTTATTTTAATGGAAACTACTGCTCTAAAGCAGAGGTGATGATGACGAATGGAACTGCAGTCTGGCCGGCTGGTCAACCGGCTTCACTCTCTCTCTCTCTCTGAGAAATCAGATTTCCTCGGGGAGCCCATTGATGCACGACCCCTAGCTAATCTATTTCTGTCTGTCCTCCTTTTTTTTCTGTTGGTTTTCACTTTCTTCCATTTATTCTAATCCGTCTCAGACACATTTGCTGTAGATAGGAGGTATATTCCATTCCAAACCCTTTTTTGTTCTCTCTGCCCATAAAGTGAAAAAGGACAATCTCATTCACACTGTTGTCCATCCTCTAGTTGTTAGGGAACATTGGACAGGGCTTTAGATATTTCTTCTGACTGAGTTCAGTGCAGCTAATTGGGAAGAAACGCACCAAACAGTTCTTGTTTAGTGCAACCAAAGTCCAAAAATGTCGGCCATTGTGTCAAGGTTTTACAGTCATTTTTATTCTTTCCACTAATCACAGCAGCAATCACTCAAATTTGGTTTCATAGTTTGGCTTCATGCTACCTCTGGGCGAGTATTTGGTCTCTGCGAAGGATCATGAGGTTTTACTGACATTACTTGTATTTAACTTGAGTAAACTTTAAGTGTGTGTCCGGCATGTAGCGGTGGGAGTTATGAGGAACATGAAGCTGCAACACAGCTTGCAGACAGTTTGTTAAAACTATCCCATCTTCCTCTCGATTTTCCTCTTCAGCTTGATAGTGACCTCCAGACAAAGAACTTACACAAAGAACTTACTCACTCCAAATGGCTTCACTAGTGTTAAACTGCTTTACACCTGCATTCTCCCTAATGGCCAGTAGGGGGTGGCTCGTCTGTTGGCCCCCAGAAGCCCCATCGAATAGAAATCTCTGAGAGAATAAGCTTGTGCACAACGCTACGGTCGTTGTTGAAGGCGTGACAGCGTTTTCCCTGGACTCCCCGGTCCGTGCAGGGCATCCTGGGACTCAGTCTGTACCAGTGGAAGGGGATGACGTACGAGGACTACACCTACCCCAACTGGTCCATGGTTATGGGCTGGCTCATGGTCATCTGCTCCGTCATCTGGATCCCCATCATGTTCTTCATCAAGATGTACCTGGCCCCCGGCACCTTCGGAGAGGTAATGATGGAGACAGAGCCGTGAGCAGCCGACCCGCCCTGGTCGCCTCTGCACTCACGCGCACGCACACTCTGTCGGAGAAATCGATATCCTCACCCTCTGCTCGTTAGCGGGGAGAGGCGGACTGCCGGCTGAGTATTAATTTGACCATTTTTCCGTTCCCTTCTAAACGCCCAGATTAATGGATGATGATGATGATGATGATGATGACGACCGAGACCCTCTGTGGCTCTCACTTCGCTCACAGGCTGTCTGCACATTTTAATCTCTTTTCTTCCTCTGACTGTGACAAACACGTTGTCATTTTTACATTATTCTTGTCAGCCATTCGTTGCTTCGTTAGCAGCCGTTCGTTAGGACTTAAGAGTAGAGTAAACTAGGCGTAAACATGTTTTATCACTGTCAGTCCAATATGAATATTCAGATTACCCTCACGCGTCCCCGTCTGCCGAATCCTAATGTAACGTATTCTTGGTCATCGTTCCTCAACACATGCTTTTGTGTGACTTCGTGGAGGGGGAGAGTTCCCAACAACCGCGTTTGTTTCGTACCTGCGGCCGAGGGGATATTCAAGCTTAACCGTAATTGAAAATGTGAGTGCTGCACTTGATGGAGTTTTTCGAGAAACCGCTCATTAAGACAACTTCCACTTTAAGCGGTCGCTTCACACGGTCGGCGCGCGGAGGCTGCTCGCCGCCAGAAGCAGAAGGGAGACGCACTCGTGGTTCACGGGAAGAGAAAACAGAGGGCAGACTTACTATGGCGGCCTGGGGCCCCCCAAATAGCAAACCCCGACCAGATATTAATCTGTTGTGATTGGATAGGACAGGAAAAACCCACAAAGTACAATATACATGTTGTGGTTGTGTTGCAGTGAGATTCCATTGACAAAAATCTAATACTTAAAATGTGATAAATTGTTATTCATAAAACCATCCAGCATTATAATAGAATTGGAAGCTCCACCTTGAACAAACGTTAAGCTATTGATGCGAGTAAATCCATTTTTATAGCTCATTTCAGACCCAGAGGGGCCCTTAAGTGCTTCACAGATTACACATAAGACTTGATGCAAACAATAAAAGCTGGGAAGTACTTAGTTCCATTTAGGAGCCTTTAAGAGCATTGTGCCGATTACTACTTTTCCTTCTTCACTCGAAGTGACAATTTGAATGCAGAGTGTTTATGGTTAAGTAAGCTTAATAATATTGAGCGCATCATGTGTGCCGAACCGGACCAAATCCGCCGCTGGGTCCCCCAGCAGAAGACCCGCCCACCGGGAAGGAGATCCCGACGAGCAGTTTGTGGTGATATGCAGAGAACTTCAACAACCAACCCTAACCCCCCCCCCCCCTCTCCCCTCACTCGCTCCTCCCGTAAAAGCCCCCGCTGTTTGTCTCCTCTCGCAGCGTCTGAAGCTGGTCTGCTCCCCTCAGCCCGACTGGGGTCCGTTCCTGATGAAGCACCGCGGAGAACGCTACAAGAACATGACCGACCCTCTGGGAACCAACTCGCTGGGCCTCAAACTGCCCCCCAAGGACTTCCAGCTGGGCTCCTACCAGTAGCAGCCGCCCGGTGCTGCACCGTACCCGACACCTATCCACACACACACACACACACGCACACACACACACTCACACTCACACGTGACCAATGATCACTTCAGAACCCGTCCCAGGGATCTTTATTCCAAGAGAAAATTGTGTCATAAAAGGACACAGCTCAGACTGCACTTGCAATATTAAACCCACCGTAGCTGCTCCCTCTGGAGTCCTGTGTGTTTGTATGTTTGTGTGTGTGTGTGTGTGTGTGTGTGTGTGTGTGCGCGCGTGCGCCCTCATGTTTGTGAGTAGGGATAATGAATCATCTTGGTGCGAGCAGACACAGGAAAACAAAAAAGAAAATTTCGCAACAGAGAGGCAGCGGTTCAAGCAGCTCCACGGGGCGTTTTGTTCCATCTGCGTAGAGAAGCTTCAGACGGCAACGCAAATAATTTCAACTGCCTCTGGGAAAGAAACAGAAAAGGCAACAAAAAAAAAAGCCCCGGTGTCACGTTTTGTTCCTGTCCAACGATATAAATATATACTCACTGTAGCTACCGCTTAGTCGCTCTTGCTTTTTTGTCACAAAATAGATATATCAGCAATTTGTGCCCCCTACGTGCCAGTAGAGTAGCGAATGCGTCCGGATTACCACGTTCAGTGGATACACGTTGACCTGGAGGCCTCTGCAGTACAAGAGAAGCTTCAACCTATCTTTTTTGTTTGCGATAACCCTCCGTCTTTGTCTGTCTAGTGAGTTGTATTCCCCCCTCGTGTCCTAGAATGTAAAGGGCACATTCCTCTCTTAGATTCCTCCAGCGTGGCCACTCCAGCGTTTTAAGGCGGGAAAGCCGGACCCGATTGCCGCTCTGTGCATAAACCTTTGACGCAGTATTTATCTCCGTATGTGTTGTGAGTTTGTGAAAACCATCTGTGAAAAACACCTTTGTGCATCACATCAGTAGAGTAACACTATAATGTATATATAAATATATGTATATATACATATATATAATATATAATAAATCATACATATACTGATATATATATATATATATATAAAGAGCCTTCAGCAGAGCAGAGTTAGAGTGTGAGTGTGTACACGTCCCTTTGAATCCCACTTTTCTCTTGCTAGCTGTGCAATAAGTGGACACTGCGTATAAAAAGAATCTCTTCTTCGTGTGTGCGCGTGGTCGCCGCCCTCGTCACGTTAGGAGCAGCTGCTATGCGTGAGTAGATGAAGATTAGAGTAGAAAATGGCCGCCCTCTTCCCTGGAAGTGTACTTTTGTCTCTTGTTGTTTGTGGTAGACCTCCAGAGACCTCTTTGCCATTTCAGACAAAAGCCTCTTTGCTTCTCTGTATGTCCGCGTAAAAAAACAGGGTCTCAGGTATACTCCGTTCCAGCGGGCTACCCCGGTAGCTGCAGGAATAGCAGCATTCAGTGCATAGGAAACACAGAGTAGAGCCATGTTAATGTTAAACTGCAGTGGAAGCAAGGTGCGAGTGTGTTGCAAAGGATGCTAATCAAAGTACTGCTTCACTTTGCATTTTGCTTGCTGTTGCGTGGACGCGCCTTGCGATGATTTTAAGAGTGTCTTGACTCGTTTGGACGAGCGTTGCGCAATGCTAAATCGAGTATCATGGTTTGTGTGACATAGTAAGTAAGTAAGTTAGAAAATCTCATGTCTTGATAGCCTTTTATTTCCTTTAAGTCGAGTTGGCAGCTGAGCCAGTTTGCTGCCTGTCGACACGCCGACCGGCTTTATTTTACATCGGCTGAAAAGGCTTTCTGACAACGTGTCAGCGTACTAGCATTAAAACTATAAAAGTCCCTTTAAGTTGTGCTTCGTCCGCACACACTCTGCAGCCTCTTTAAAAGGGACGTGACAGACAGCCGACCTTCGCTCTGTAGGCCGCCAACCACTTACCCGCGCAGCAACACTACGGTGCCACTCACGGGCAATTAGTCCTTTCCACACTTTGACCACTTATTGACGCGTACGCATGTTGACGCAAAGTCACGATTGGTTTTATGTTGCTTTTAACACTGCAGGCGATCACTATACGTCGACGAGTGGTTTGAAGGCAAGTTGCAGGTATGTGCAATTACAGTTGCTCAGTAGTAGTTTTAGTGTCTCTAAGCATTTCTCTAATGGCGCGTTTCCACCGAGCGGTACGGTACGGGTCGGGTCTGTTAACCATGATTTGGCGAGCGTTTCCACCGCCAACAGTACCCTTACTTAAGAGGCGTGGTGTATTCCAGAAAGTAGTGATAACGTCACTTGATAGGCGCGGTATATGACGGAAAGTAGATTGACGTCATTCGATCGCGCGGAAACTGAAAGCTAACCGCTAACAACAACGGAGGACATACAGCCGATCCTGTTCTTGCTTCTCGATACGTGGCTGTTTGTCACAAGGAGACGACAGTCTTTGTTTGAGCAAAGGCTACATGCTGCAGGTGTGTTACGTGTGTTGTCTTTCCCCTTGCGCCACGCGCAAATGACGACACTCTTTCAACCAATCGACGCTCTGCAACCTAGTCTAGCTCCGCCCTTTAGTACCAGACAACTGTGCCAGGTTCCCCAACGGAAGGGTACCCAAAAGTGGTACGGTACGGTTCGGATTTTTGGTACCATTCTCAACTTTTGGCAGTGGAGACACAAATAAAAGGGTACCGACCCGTACCGTACCGTACCGCTCGGTGGAAACGCGCCATAAGCCACGCCGTTTCACCATCCTGGCAATGGAAATAGCACGGATATGATTTTAGTTGTTAATAAAGCATAATCGATTGATGAGCACAAAACCCTGTTGAATAGCTCGCTCGCTCCACGGTGTTGCTTTCGCTAAGACTTGTTTAAATGTGATAGCAATGTGTGTGTCTGTGTATGCTGGCGCGCGTGTGCGTTTGTCTCTGTTAGTTTTCCCTGATCGGGCGGTAGATCGCTGAAAGAACCAGTAGGGATTCACACTACTTTTCTTTTCCTTGTGGATGCCGCGACCCGATGCGTACCTCTTCTGTGATGGACGTGAGGATCTCAGACCACCAGTGGTGAAGCCGAGCTGGGTAAAACTCTTAATACTGATATGCTTTGAAAATGAAAAAAAAAAAAAAAAAAAAGTACGGCAGGCGCTTGAGAGCAGGGCCGAAAGAGCAGGCTGGCATTTAAAATCCTGTGCTGGCGTTGAGTGGACAGTAAGCTCTTTGGAGTGAGACTTAAATGAGCCTTTTGTTCCCTGAGATAGATTTGAATGATTTCCTTGAGGGGCAGAGATGAATAGCTATGAGTTCTGTGTCCCGTCTGTCCATTTCTACTGGGCTTTTCAGCTTTCAGTTTGAGGAAAAAAAACGAAAACGAAAACGAAAAAAAAAAACTGCTTAGGATTCAGTTTAAACCACGTTGCGTCATAAAATATTACACTGAAGAGCCTGCATGTGCAGTTTGTGTTGCTGTAACCTGATGTCCATGTAAAGGAACCCTTCTCCCTTCTCTCTCAATAGTATAAGTCTGTGCATGTTTTTGTCAGGGAGCTTTTCGTTCTACATAATGTTAAGAAACATAGTGTTGTACTTCCTACTGAGAAGGACGACGAGGAAAAAAAAAAAAAACAGAAAAAAATTTGCTTTGCCTGCAAGTCAACTTTGGGCAGTAAAGGTAACCAAAGAAAAAGTACTTTAACTTCGGTTGTAGTGAAAACGGAAAACCCAGAAAAAAGGAATGTGTCATCTGCGTATAGGAGGTTGAGATACTGCCATTCATGTCCCACGTAGTGTTCCTCGATGTTTGCCAATATGTTACAAAACATCTTCAGGTAACCATTGGCCTTATAGATGTCCTCTAATGGTATAATATTGTATGTACTTTGAAATTAACACCACAGAATAGCTTATCGTCTGTCTCATATGGTAAAAGTATTCCTATTGTAATTCATGTCGTGTCTTTTTGGCACTTTATCGTCTCACCTATGAATGCATAGGTTGAATTTCTAATTACTTGAGTAATGTCATTACTTCTGCGTGTACTATGTGAGGTACTGCTGCCTATGGATATAGAAATGTGCCTCCAACAGTCCATGACATCTTTTTCATTTGAAAATAGAGATTAGATAAATATGTGTGAAATATATAAAAAAGAAAAGGAGATATATCATATATGTGAAATGTATTTATTTTCATTGTCATCAATCTTTGAGGCCCTACCTCAGATTTTGTATTTATGTATAGAAATGCAATTGGATTATATTATCTTTGCCAATAATAATATACCGCTATTATATCATGAAATGTATAACCTATAAATCAATAAATAAATGTTATTGTTTTCTCTGTTGTTCCTGTCTTTTTAGACGAGACTCTGCTTTAAACAATGACGGGAAAGATATTACCCGAAGACAATAAGTCCCGTCTCTGACCTGTCAATCAACTTTTACCCGGAGCCGCTAAATGTCTGAAGGCATCGCGGCTTTTTGAAAATGTTACACGCTGTTGGTTGTTTGCAGGGAAATCACGATCAAAGAGGAGGAGATTGAAAAGAAAGACGATTGGAACGTTCCTGCAGGCAGCTTGTTTGTTGGTTCACACCGTGTGCTGCCGAACGCCGCTCGCTGTGACAAGAGGAGCCTGCATATTTCATGTCCAACCAATTTGCAATTTAAATGAATTTGCGTGCAGCACACCGATTTGCAGTACATCATGTACCAGAGTGAGAGGTCCCTCAAAAATGCTGGGAAACAGCTGCGAGACTGATTTATTGAACTCAAGAGCCTCGATGGCATCATCAAGCTTATGGATCTGTTGTGAAAAGCCCGGAAAGTGGAGTTAATGCAATAATAAAATGCATTCTAAAGATATGGACACAGGTAATTTAATCTAGTTATGCCAATACTGGAATTTGCACCAGCATTCGGTCAAATAAAAATACGTTTTTAATTGCACGGTTTTGGGTGCACTCCGTAAGATCTCGCCAGAATTGACAGGAATTTTTATTGATTACGGTTTATCTAAGACATCTATCAATTGTGTTGCAGAGATATCTACTGAAAGGAGTATTCTTAGCACCTGACCGACCGTTCCTGTATTGTAATGTCCCTGGTTCCTTCTTCAGGATGAAAATGATTCTATTCACAGATTTAGCATGTTAACATAACATTTGATACATAATATTTCATCTGCTCTGTGGAGCTTTACTTCGGAGCAAAGGTGATAATAGCTGACATGCTCATGTAAAAGTGGTGAATTTTGCAGATTAGCGTGCTTTCTTGCATTAATTAGCACAGCTAAGCATCATACCAATTTAATTAGTTTTGCACTTATCTGATTACAAACCTGCATTTTCACATCCCATGATGGAGGCGGATGCAACATAAGAAGGAGTCGTCCTCTGAGGACCACAGGGATCCAAACCAAATGTGAAGCAAATCTATCCAACTTCATGTATTGATATTCCAGTCAAGGAGCACGGTGGTGAACCCACAACAACTCGCTCACAGCTGCTATCGCTCACAAATATCACACACATTTCTGTTCACCGTTTCCAACCAATTCCTTTAACATAAACAGCTTGAGCAAAATGTGGGTTTGGGTCGAAATAAGAACTTTGGAAGAAAAAAGTAGCATGCACCTTATTATATTCAGCCTTGGCCTCCCTAAAAAGGCTTCGTTTCTCTGTTGATCCAGAGACCAACAAGACCCAAGAAATGATTCCAAAGCAGAGGGGAAATTCTCTGTTTAAGACTTTAACACTGCATGTACCATCTGTTGAACGCACTTAGACCTGAAAGTTTCGTTGCGGCAAAAGAAATGTCTTCCGTCCGCGAAGACCCGTATTCTTGCTCAAAGATCTCTGCGCAAAGTGAAAAAACAAAGTTAGACGTTGTTCAAGAGGCCCTTTGTCTCCTTTTTCGCGAGTGGAGACGTCCAGATATTTATCATTCGGGGGGCGGCGGTCTCGCCGACAGCCTGTTTGTTTTCCATCGCCATCAGTTAAAAAGTTTGCCGGGCCGCCGGCTGGAAGACACAGAAAATCCTGCTCACCGTTTCCTCCCCGTATTCTGCTGACAAGAAAATCCTTCGTGATTTATCTCATCAGCTGATGAAAGCTGTTGAGATAAGGCGGGAAGTGATCTGACCTTGAGGAGCAGAAAGCCCTGCAGCTACATCATTAGATACTGTTATGCTTTCAGATCACCTGCTTGCTGTGACAAAATAAGGACGCTGCTGAGACCGACGTAGCGATACGGATGAAGGGCTGCTACCGGTCAGTGGGAACTAAAATGCTTTCACCATTCTTTCCAGTGGCAAACAGGTCCAATGTCAGTGTATGAGGAAAAAAAAAACTTTATTTCTTACTCTATTTATGACGTAA